ATAACAGTGCGACAAGGACAATTAGTTTAAAGAAAAACTGAAGCGGTTCTGTATTCGAGGAAAAACACCTAAATCGTCTCCATATGGCCTCCAGGATCGCGAATATCTACACTATTGTTCAATCTGATGCGCGCAGGCGGCACAAAGTCATTTTGAATGTACCGCCGAAGCCCCTCTTTCCCGGAGCGTGACGTCATATCCAGAGTTTTCGGAAACTGGTGAAGCTTGCGATTGCACGCGCTGCCCACACGAGCGACTCGCGCGCTTGGCGGCCGAAAGATCTGGGCATGGCGTAACGGCTGGTCCGAGGGTTTTCCTGTTGTCTCGTGTTTCGTTACATCTTCGGGGAAAACAAACGCGATATTCAGAATTACGGGATAAAAATAGTCTAGAATTCACCTCTAACTCGATTTTTTTCAAGAACTTCTTCAGGTTCCCTTTAAAACCTAATTGACACCACACCCGTTAGGGTGGCGTTGATGTGTTCTTGCCCAAAACTGTCCAACTGACCATTTCAACGGTCGAGTCCTTGGTGAAGAAGTTTAGAATGAAATGGCGAACCGAGTCTGTGCTGGCGTCCTTCCACTCAGCCAGAAAACAGTACTTCTTATCCGGCTTAGACACTGAAATGCCAAGGAATAAACGTTACATGGGACATTCGACACAACCCACTCAAAATATGAGAAGTATTGCCGTCAGGCTGATGGCCGCAATGCCTATCGTACACAACGCCATGCTTAAAAAAAAAAAAAAAAGAAGAAGTGCAAGGAAGAAGGTCGAAGTTATGGTCAAATTAACCCAAAAAAATTAAGGAGTAAAATAAAGTAAGAATGCTGCTTTTTTTGTATTTTACATTGGAAAATTTGGTTTTGCGATTAGTTACGTCATGATTTAGTAATCGTAGCGTTGCCTGAGATCGGACTCATGTGAAACGCCTCGCACACTACGCAACTCGATGCCGCTCGCACCCGCGTTTCAAAAGCCGCCGTGTTAGGAATACATACTCGCGTCCGCTGGCAACGCTGGTCGTACGTGACGTCGTCATAGAAACCGAAACCAAGTGTCCAAACACGGTTTTGTCCTTCTTTTGGCGTGAAACTTTCCCAAATCAACAGGATTTAATTCACGGAATGCGTATAACACCCCTACTACACAATAAGAAAAAAAAAATAAAAAGAAGAAAACCTGAAACAATTATATTTAGTGCATACAAGATGTTACCACGTTTAAATATCAATGTTCGAGCGCGCAAACCCAGCGCTACGCGCTCTTCGAATTATTTGGACGCACTACAGCAGATCTACACCTTCATTGAACGTATGGATTTCACCAAAAGCTCAAAGATGAGAACAGTCTACGAATAAATACTCCCTACTTACTTTAGGTATGTAAAAATATCCTAGTTACTTCCAGGTCCCAAAAGTTCGTAGACGCGGCGAGTGGCAGTTTTCAGTGTTGCCAGACACAGGTTGTAGCCATGCTCTCTTCAGCAAATCAAAACCAAACCACTTTTTTTTGTGTGTTTTTTCTCTGTGTGCAAGGTAACCGTTTTGCAAAGTTAAACCAAGTAAAAACTAAATTTGGCATTCACGAAAGCCAAGAAATAAATTTAAAAAATAAATATTGTCGGAAAACAAGCATATATATATATATATATATATATATATATATTATTGAAACAACAGGCATTCAATGTTTTTTATATAAACGTTTTATTTGAGTGAAACTCGGATGAATGAATAATGTTGTGCGGAACAACGAAAAATCTGCTCAAATATCCAACGTCGAAATTTATAATGCACCAAATAGCGTTCAAAAAATTCTACGAAAAATCAATCAATGTGCGAGGATCGCGGCAACAAAAAGAGCCACAGGGAAGACTTGAATTTGAAACCTCTACAGCCACCGACACCTAAAGAAAGGCGGGGCGGGGCTTATTATCTTCGCGTTTCTTGATTGGTTCTTGGGAGCTCTTATCGGCTAATGCTGTCGTCTCATTGGCTGCAGACCGATAATGAGATTCCTTGGACTCGCCACACCCTGCGTCTCTTTAGCCGTCAGTGAGTATAAAACATCTAAAAAGAAATTATAAAAAAAAACTATATTGGCAAAGTTTATACACCCTATTACACAATGTCTATTTTTTCGAGTCAGCGTTATCCAGTGCCGTTTAAGTACATCGAAAATTCCTCGGCACCCGAGTGTAAAATTGAACCAAACAAATGAGAAGGCATGTCGTCCTCACGTTCGACTCCCGAAGATGCCTATTTTTGTATTCGAGAATAACAACAGCTATCTATACTCCAAGTCACCCAGCATGACACAAAACCCATTTTAAAACACACATTTTCAGCAAGAAATACTGGCCACTATAAACAGGTATCAATCGAGCAGGTACACCACGAAATAACCACGCCCTTCTATATATACACGTAAAACTGTACAATTATATATATAAAAAAAGAAACCACATAGTGTTTTCTGGCAAAACCAACCAGCCAGAGCTATTCCAGTGTCAAAGATGTGAGGTGAACATTGGATATAATGGAGTTACCTAATATCTATGAGTATCCTCTTTCTGCAAAAATATGTAGTCGAGTTATGACAGTCTCTGATGTTACTTTGTAAGATATATCTATACAGTTAGTAGATGTGCCATCGCCAGATCGCTTCTCCAACCTCGCAGAACAATTGTCATTCGTCTAGTGCATAAATTAAACAAAACCATTGTTCGCACTTAGTTGCCAAATATCCCCCGCACTAAAGAAGCATTCTTTTAGTGACATCCTAACACAAGCCATGTCCTTCAAGTTCTTTTTTTGTTTTCTTCCTAATTTATGCTCGGTTTGTTTACAGAAACGGTATCACCTTCACACGTTCCAATTTTCAAACGAATCAGGTGTGTGCCTGTATAAAAACTCGACCACAGAAACTCGAGTTTTCAGACATATAGCTGAATGAGCCTCTATAAACACAATTTGTTTCTTCTAAATATAAGTTTGTCAATCTGACATTTGTTTGTTCACTGTTGGTAGGTGCAAAAATATTTTTTAAAAAAATGTATGATGGTGAACATAGTTTTCAAAATAATGACTGACCAGACGTCTGCTTATGTGCTTATGACAAAACAGCAAGAATAAAGCCACCCTAGAAACGATTTCTGTTTGCACGTGACAACAACTGCTTGAAAAAACTGGGCCAGATATTGACACATGAGAAACCACTACACCTGGAGTCTAAAGAAACCAATTATATTTTATGCAACTTTGGCATATTAGAACAAGAAAGCGGTCGGTTCCTAGATGGCAGTGCAGTACGCGCATCTAAGGGTTTTCATTTTCGAGTAAAAACCCAGTTTTAATTCATATTTACACCCCAGAGGTGCATTCGAAAGTCAGTTCATACAAGGTCGATAGCCCTGCGAAAACCAAAAGGCGGTCTCCCATGCCGCTTTCGTTAACTTTTCTTCTTAATTCACGCTGAAATCGTTAACATACCCCCTGTAACTGCAAGATAGCGACATTCGGTAAATTATCTTAGAAGGCATCCAAATATTTACTTTGTCATTTTGTAAACAAAACCTTTTTTTTTTATTAAATAAACTGTAAAAGAAACCCAACTTTCTTCCATCAATGCACGGTTGAAAGAGAGTTGTAAATTTGACCCACTCAATTAATATATATATCTATATATATAATAATTGAGGGGGTCAAAGTTAAAACTCTTTTTCAAACGGGAATTTATGAAGCAAAGTTGGCTTTCTTTAAATCTTAATTATTAAAAAAATGTTTTGTTTACAAAGATATATATATATATATATATATATATATATATATATATGTATATATATATATACAGGTTTTCTTTTCAGCTTTACAGATTGTTTACAATAAAGGCGTGAAAGTTACACTTTTTGAACCATATTTCTATTTTCACTAATTAAAAAGTTAACAAGTTCTAATTAATAGCCGACTTATCGCAAAGATTTGCCGCTCACATAATGCCCCCCTGGTCGTATAACTCACCTAAACAAACCGCATAAGTGTAACTTTCAAGGCTTTTCTTAAACGAATCTGTAGAGCTTAAAAAAAAAACAAAAAAACTATATATATATATATATATATATATATTGGAAGAGGCTTCATACAATATTACAAATCAGGTTGTTGGGAAAGAAAACACAGCTGGAAACATGCAAGGTTTTCTTAGAAACCAAAGATGAGAGTTAGCAGCTCTATATGACCATGTTTTTCTACTTGTGCTTAGGACATCAATCTTTCCTAACTTTGGCAAATGCGCACAATTCTTTTATTGTCGACAGAAACGCCTCATTAGCATAAAGTTTAGCAATGAAAAGTTTCGGACTATAAACACTCTTTTTTTTTCCTTCCTTGCCTATCAATGAGCTTTTAACACTTCCTAAAATGACACATTATTTGCATAAAAAAACATTAAGAGTATTCGTCAATCTCATGAACAAGTGCCACCAAGATTTACACATTTATTAGCTGTTAAAACCTATTATGAACATTTGCCATTAATACCATGCAAAAAGTTCAGCATGGATATTGGAATTATCAAAGTTATTTGCATGTCAGGGGCTTGTTTCATAGAGACATAAAAGACACCACATGCTATATGTATATTCAGTCTTTCTCAATAGCACCACCAAATAATACATGAATGCAGATAGAATTATATTTACTCCGACCATATCCCTCGACGGTGCCTATAATAATGACCAGAACTTTTTCCATAATGCTGTCTACTTTGGCTGCACATCGCTAGGATTCTTTACTTTTTGTTCAAAACATCTCCAATCAAATGACTGAAAACCAAAAAACACTGCTACCAATGCATTAAAAACAAATTGAAAAGCATTAATTTTTGCAACTTTTTTGTTGAGTTTTTTTATTTTATTTTTACGTGCGCCCTATTTTAGTTTTTTTTTAAACTTATATATATTCCCCGACTGATATCCCTTTTTCAAATAACTTACAATCCAGTCTGCGTTTCATTTTTCATGCTACCCTTTTTATGTTCCCCCTGCCTTATTACACCAATTTCGTCGTTGAACAGGCTGTTAGAAAAAGCGAAAATAGACTCAAAACCACTCAAATACATCCCTACAGCAGACACTTCCCTTGCTTTGTTGATGTTTGTGCAACTTTTACCACCTTAGATAAAGCAAAAAGGTGGCAAAATGGTATATCTCAAATAAACATGGGCTAGAGAATCGAATTTACTGCTCCTTTGTGACACACACATAGAACTGCAATTCGTGGGCTGACAGCACACCCAATCTTCTCTTCAACCATGAAGTAAACGAGATGTATCAGTAGTGGCAGTGAGCTCAAGTTAAATGTTGGAAATCCAAGAAGCAAACTGTCAGTTTTAGTTTGTTAAAGAGAATATTCTGAAAACCATGCTCTAGAAAAATTGTAACAAAGAACAAGCAAATTCAAACAGACGTAAAAGAAGCAGAATTATTCAGTGGAAATAGCCAGTTCACAACTCATGTCACTGAAGAGGGATATGTGCCTGCCTGTCTCCAGTTTCGTTTTTATTAATGAAAACAAAATCTTATGTTCCCCTGAATCTTCATTAAAAACTGAAGGTTTGTTTCACCTAAATACGCTACAGGAAAAACAAGTGTTTTGACTTCACATATTAAAATAACCATCATTTTCCACAATCTATATAATACAAAATTAGGGAAACATACTGTCTTTATGGTCACTAGCTAAACCAAATTGATTAAAGAAAGTGACAACTTGTTAACTACGATCAACACCTAGCAATTAAGCTGCAATATGATCTGCACGCAAAAGGTAAAAACATTCCTTTAGACATCGATGAAGAAAACAAAGTTTGAAGATAAAAATACATATTACAACAGGCCGATGTCAACCTTTCAACCACAATCTTGTCACCAAAAGCAATCAACCCGGGGGACTGATAGGCCAATAGTTATTCCATCCACATCCATACTAGTTAAGGCCCATACCCCATTTCAAGGAAGCGCTATTACCTCAATCATCTGTTCTATTTAAGCTGGAAAACTCCGGCACAAAACAATCTTTTAAAGCACACACCACAGAAAGGAAACCAGCTGCCATAAGCCGGCTTCTCTCCGACATGGGCTTCGAGGTGATGTAACATCCACGGCGCCATTCGTATCCCCTAAACCGTCACCTACAACAGCCTACGAGCCCCCTAAAAACAAACCTCGGCCACAACCAGTTTCTTGGAACAGCATGTTGAAGATACACGAAAAGAAGTGCGCTTATCATTCGTCGACCTCAATGTGGAACGTCCGAGCTTGTCCGTTTTCATGGCTCGCCGACTTGATGGACTCGTTGGCGGCAACCTCGAGACCGTCCCCCCAGAGTGCGGAATTTGGTTTGTCCAGAGGATTGCGACAACCGCGGCACCTACACATGGCACAGCTGGTGCCGTTCACGTAGCAGGGGCAGCGTTGACCACAGCAGGTCAGTTTCCCCGGGTTCGAGGCGGTCACGCCGCAGCGGCAGCCACGACGCTGGGGGCGCGAGTAATGCATCAGGGCGCTGCCCGAGGGACTGCCGCAGTCCGAGTTGTCCGAACTGGATCCGCCGCACTCCGGAGCTCCTGAAAGATGGACGAGCAATTAGGCTGAAGCTCGTTCGTCTTAAGACCGGTTCACAAGTCCGCATTTCAAAGCTGCTTCGCACAATCGCGTCTGGCTGCAATTGAACGCGTCGTGCAGCCTCGCGACCCCTTACGACCAGACATGCTGGTACCACCTACGAGATAGCCCTGGAACTGCATTTAACTGGAGTGAAGTTTTCGCGGTATTCGCAAGATAAAATAAATGCACTATTTATGAGAAATGCCCATGTATAACACTCAAAAGTTTTTCAAGTCATTGTGAAAGAACTATGCACAAAAAAATGAGGAAATAACTGCAAATCACCGGTGCTCCAGGGAATGCACTCAGTTGCAACTAGGGATGTCGCGAACCGGTCGAGGTTCGAGTTCGACCAGGTTTGACTTTTTTAACTTCTTGTGAAAAGTTCGACAAAGGTTCTACTCAGGTTCGACTGCTATGCGCATGCGCAACAGGCTTGCCAGTTGGCTTCGGATTGGATGGTGATGGATAAGGGATGAATTAAGGGCAGCACTGATTAATTATTTCAGTTAATACAGTACAAAAAATTAAGTTATTAACTCCTTCAGTGATTAGAATTAGCAAGCAGTGATAGAGTGCAAACGAGCTGGTAATTAATCAACATCTTATAAACCCTGAGATGGGGAACAATAAAGAAACGGACGAACACAACAAAATCTCAATTTTGTTGTGTTTGTCCGTTTTTTTATTGTTCCCCATCTCAGGGTTTACAAGATGTAGAATTAGTTTCTTTTAATAGCAACTGTTCATAAAATTAAAATAACCCTTTGCATAGAAAAGAATTCTCCAAACCTAGACATGCTTGTATCAAGACCTGGCCACACTGTCCACAAAGTCGAACCGGTCGAATCTGGTTAAAAGTCGAAGGTTCATCAAACCGGTTCCGACCCAGTCAAACCCGAAAGTTCGACCTACAAATCCGGTTCAACAAAAGTTCGCGGCACCTTGAAGTATGCACAGTGTGTAGAGACCAGTCTGCTTCATTAATATCACTCCATTAACATCGTCAGATTCGGCTGACTGGGTCGCCAAACTCAGGAAAGACCACAAACACAGCAAAACCGCTAGGGTCCCATTCTCACGAAGTTCGAGCTTCCTGCGATGCATAGTTCATTTACCCGGGCCAAAGAGCACTGTTCTCTTCTCTCGGGAACTTATTCCGGACATTTTTTCACCGCGAGAAGTTATCCCCAGTGCAGGGTCATCATGTATCTGACCGAAATCGCAAACAGGCATCTAGGCAAAATAGCCAGCATGGTTGCTGGCTTCTCCACAGCGGCTACTTTCCGAGCGTGCGGAATGTCCCACACCGTACACACCGTACGGTGTGTACGGTGTGTGCAGTGCGAATGTGTGTACACACCGTACACACATTCACACTACGCAGCTGTTCTGACAGCAGACAAGCGCCACAATGGCACGAAATTTGAACTGCAGTCGGATGCGCCCACGCTGTTGCAAAACCGAAAGGGCGGCAGCCGAGTCTAAATAGATCCCGCTCACATAAAGTCGTCATAATTACCAGCTTCTTAGCCGGCATCTTTCGCAACCACTGCTTTTCTACGCGCCGTCACTCGTTCAAGATAAAGAATTCGGCATTTTGCAATTATTTTCCTCCCATAAACTCATGCAATTGTTTTCCTCGCATTACCGTTCAAATAGCCAGATTTACAGAAAAACTGGAACGCGCAGTCACGCAGGTGTAAAAAAATCCTCCGGTCAACTCTCATGGTACACAAGCCGCATCCCAATACGTTCCGCACACATACCGGCATAGTTGCCGACTTCCCAGCTGTGGCTCCTTTCTGACGCTACCATAGGCTTCACCAGCTCGCTTCAAACGCGGTTCCCACACATTTACGGCGTCGTAGTGAATTTTCCGGCTACTCCACGCACAATACAAATCATAAATCAGACAGTAAGCGGCCTTTACTACTCCTTCTGACGTCTGCTGAGGAACACTACCAGTTGCCGAAACCCAACCCGCGCAACTGGGAAGACTGCGTTTGACTCGGGAGATTTGGCGCTCACGAAGACTACGAACATCTGATAACACGCACATAGGGACCAACTTGGAGGGGATTAACACGCATGATCGCGAATCAAAGTATTGGCGCGCAAGCTGCTCACAGCCGTTGCGCTTAACCTACCTTTGGCCACTTTAACACTTTTGCTCGGGGGCGCACGCACGACGGTAGCTGCGACAGTCACCACGGCTCCGCTGTCACCGTTGGTCACGGCACGCTTCGTGCGATCGCCGTTCACAATCACGGCCGTCGCCAGCGGCGTTCGACTCGAAGCAAGCGGAGTACGACACGAAGTCAGCGGAGTCACCGGAGTCGTTGCCATGACGGGCGCCGCCACCGAAGCCGTGGGAGTCGGCTGGCCGTACCGATAGTTGTCGGCGAGGTTTGATCCCTCGGTCACAATATCCTGAAAGTTTACGTTGGTTCCGCCGTTGAGATTGCCCCATTTGCGTTGCAGCGACGAGGTGCCCAGGTAGTCGCAAAACTTTTTGTAACACTGAAGCAAGATGCGGAGGTGGAGGTTCTCGGCGAACTTGCTGTGGTCTTCGCAGCCGAGGCAGGACGATTTGAGGCGCGTCTTCTTGCCCAGGCATCCCTTGCACACGGAATGTTGGCAGTTGGGCATTGTGGACGTCATGGGGACGACCAAGAGACTGGAACACACACTGCATAAAAGAGCCTGTCGGAGCAGCGACAGCAAACGGTATATGTCAGCCCAGGCACTGTTGTCGTTGGGGTCCGATTCGAACACTCTGCGGCACGTGGTTACGTAGAGACTCAGAGCGTTCATGGTTTCCCGTGATGGGCCGCACCGTTTGAGAGAAAAGTGCAGCTTTCCGCACTAATCGCCGAAATCATGCCATATTTTGTTTAGGACGACGGAGCCGAGGGAGGGCTGACGTCGATGGCGATTGTGATTTTGGTTTCGGTTGCGGCTCTCAGTATGTTCGCGGAGTCAGGAGAAATACATCTCTTGCTGGGAGGGATTGCGTATTTATTCTGCCTTGTAAATGCTTATTTATGGCTATAAAAATAAGATTGCATACTTGTTTATATTCTATAGCAATATTTGAGTATTTTAATAATAATAAACTCGAGCGCTTGCACGATTCCTGCAGCTTACGAACGCGGGGTGCGCACTTGAGTACGATCATTGTACTTTTATTTTCGTTTTTCCAGTCCTAATGCACGCCTAATTTCCGTACCCATGAACGCACTTGCGAAATTATTTTTTAACTGCGCTTTTTATTTTTCTCCGTCTGAACGCGGTAATTAGGAAAGGTGCGTCTTATATTCGAATCAGACTCTCCCTTCGCTAGTTTATTTAGGAAACGATAAATTCTGGTATAATTAGAAAAAAAAAAAAAAAAACAACAACATGACAATGGATAAAACAAATAACCAACAGTACTGTAAAATATAAAGAGATAATAATGAAAGCCGCTGTCGTCTATGTGGCATACTTTTTTGTGACTGTGCATCGTTGATCGAACGCAATGGACAATACTTTCTTAATCCACTATTTCATAACTAAACTTACAGAGTGTAAACCAACCTTCCCTCATTCAGCCTTGTGGAAATCAAGTGTCAAGACGCGTTTCTGTGCCTGCCATTGACCTTAGAGATGCAGCGAACTTTTGTCAAAACTGAGGTTCTACTGGTCCAGCGACCCTCCAAACTTTTGTCAAAATCCGGCAAAATCTGCCGCCCTGCAAGAAAACTAAAAAAAAAAAAAAAAGCTACTCAGTCGTTTGTATTAAGTTTTAGAGAATAATTACCAGTACTTGCGCAGTATAAAAGCAGACATACAATTAAATCCTAAGGATTTAATTAGTTTGCTCATGTGAAAATGGGAATGTCCCTTTGGGTTACAACTTGTAATATATAACCTTCCGCTCGTCCCTAAATAAGCTTCAGAAACATCTTAGTACAATAATACAAAATTGCCTTGCATTATTTTTTATGCCCCCCCCCCCAAAAAAAAAAAAAAAAAAAAAAAAAAATTTGATGCATGGCAATTTTGTATTATTGTACTTGGATACAGGCTCTTAATATTTGTTACCTTATGCTTCTGAAATTAATTGTGAATAACATTTTCGCGTTGTTGTTAACTTTGCATGTTTTTTGCGTGCCTTGTCCTTCCCGTGATATAAATAATATTATCTTTGTCATTTTCTTGAACCACTTGAGACTGAGTGGAGAATTTAGAAGAACAAAAAGTGGAAGGGACAGGAACGGAAAGACAGATGGCGTCGTCTCAAACTAACTCCAACGATATTTCTTCCAACTCTTTTTTTTTTTTTTTGCCAATTTACTTCCCCAAAATTTTTTCTTTTCGTCGGGTAATTGTTGCCCATGACTTTTTTCCATCCTGCCCACCATTTGAATACCACCTTTTCATCCGGGCTGACTTGTTTTGCCACCGTCTGAATTGATGCGAAGACCACCTAGCTTGGCAGTTTTTGGTTTAAACAAAACTTTGGACCCCAACCCAAAAACCCTTCAGTCTTCCGGGAGATTCGACGCATCAATACTACACTGGGGACGGGATCTCTGATACGTCTGCCAACCATCATTTCTATGCACTACATTTCCAATGGTAAATCTACACCAGCTCGCCTGCGCCATCGCAGTCTCTTATTATCTTTA